GGTTCCGCCTAGTGGCCACGTACTTGTCATGGATAAGCTCATGAACCTGATCCGCACCTTGATTTTAATTGAGGGCTTGAGCGGAGTGATGAACCTGTCCTCAACAGCGATCCCCTGCTCGTCGATGCAGCCCTGGCAATCTGGCGACTGTCAGGAATCACATCCCTTGCGAACTGCTGGACTATCATCCGCATTCAAGCTCTTTCGCCATCCTGTCAAAGGTCTCTGACCTGTTTGCGCTCCGTGATGCATGCCCTAATCATGGATGCGAGCTGTCCATTCATAGTGCGATCTGGTCAGCGAATCCCACTAGCGTGTTCGTGAATGCTCCAGAGAACTCACCCCTTTTGACCAAGGAGTGAAGATGAGCGCCCTCCTTCTCCTGCGCTTCTGAACTCCTAGAAGATCAAGACCTGAGTCAGACAAAGGAGTAGATATCTCAACCCTCTCCGGATTACTGCCTCGCTTGCGCGAGTGCGGGAAATGGACTCTTCGTAGTCACCTCCAAGGATAGCCTCCTCATCCACGACGCTACGTACGAAAGTCCTACGGCTGATAACCTGCGAGTGGGGCACGAACCTGTGCCCAGGCAATTGGGCAATTGGGAAAACAAGCCGCCGCAAAGAGAGAGGGTGCCAAGTTAGCCAACCCCCAGTCCCAAAGTTCAGGGTGCCAACACACAGGGAACCAAACAACCACGGAAAAGCCCCCAGGCCGACGATGAACCGCACGGCGAAAACCCTACCAACCTGACCCGGGCCGAAGTCTCTTTCTCCTTCGACACTTGCCTGATCGACGTGGGGGCCCGGCGACGCTCATCCGAGGCCGCGACGGATCCAAACTTGAGCCAAATGCCACTGGTAAGTTGCTATCGCAAAACCCAATTACACCCAGCAATGGACTTAGTCGGGGCTAATACTTGGGTTACACGCGGAAAGTGTCTGAGAGATTGACCATGATGGTCAGCGTCGTAATGGTCACAGCTTCCCGCGCTGAGTCCTGAGAGTGGCCGAGCTCAGCCATGCTGGCAGAGCGTCTGTCAGGTGTGTCGATTTGAGAGGGTGGATGTGGTCTCAAACCAGTTGAGATACAAAGCCTTGAATCGACCCTGTAAAGGGCTCCCTGCACCACCATTGACAACTACACCCCTAAATCAGCTTCAACAAAGTCTGAAGCATTGAGCAACCAGGGCGGTACATAGCCCTGTTTCTCGTTGGCACTGGCTGAGCACTATTAAAAACACAGCTCCAAACACTGCTTCCACTAATTACACCTCCTGCCTAACACACACCTCATGTAGCCATAAGTCCCTTCCAAGGAGCCTCTGGCTGCCACTATGTCGAGGGCCAAAGGGAGAGCCAAAAGGCACATGACAAGAAGCTAATTGCTGTCCCGCCCGCACAGAGTTAGAGTCACACCCCACTTTCTTCATCGGTGTTGCTCTTTTCCAATTGGCCCAACCTGTGGGCACCAGCCAGAACGTGTCCGAGGCGCGTAGGAGTGCAAAGTGCAGGGGATGACGCCAGAACGCCAGCCTTGAGAACAGGGAGTAGGCCAATCACTTCATCTGAGGCCGCTGCTTACTAACAACAAATCAGGTTGCACGCAAAGTGTTCTTAATGGCTCCTGTACTGGTAGCCTTACAATCGTATAATTGAGCAACAGTTTGTCGCACGCTAATATGGCCTAATATGGCCTTTATAGCAATGGCAAACATCATCTCATGAAAGGCGCGCAAACAAAATTACAAAAGCAGTCAACACTGGCTTACCTTGCCTGAGTTGACCAAACCTTGGCTGGATTCAACCCTCCTGATGCTGTCTGGGCAGGCGGCGCGCGGAAAAGCGAAGTCGGACGGCCTGAACGCGGCTTTGCTTGGATTGCATTGGCAATCACGGCTTGCTCAACACAGTCACCCACACAGTTATTCAAACTGGCTAATGAAATGGAGCCCAGGTCATGATGCCTATGGTTCAAGATTTGTTGCATTGTTCCTACAGGAAATCCAAGAGCTGCAGTTTCATGGCTGTCTGTGTTTTGCACCCAACATGCCAAATGATCATTGCACGACTGCATACATTTCTACAATGTTGCTGGAGTTCTTCGAACCCTGTAGAGCAGTACCAGGCTGTGAAACGCAGAAAGGCTTCCAACCTCCCTGTCAGATTCAGGTCAAATCTGCCTCAACTACCAAGCGCTGGATCAGCCACTCTGAAAGGTCCTCGGCACTCCTGCAAGCTGAGTGAAGAATCTGCACTTGGTCCCATCTCAGATGACGATTGACCATGCCCAGTCGTGGATTTGACATGTAGATTGCAGCCAAGGATCCCCACTCAATGGAGCAGCCAAGCAAACCAAAACCGGCAGGGCACAACCGTGCATCTCAAACAGGCGTGTGCATGCCCAAGCACGCACACAAAACAATCGTAAAAAGGAGCTTCGGTTGCCTTTGTTTGCGTGCTTCTTTTTGGCCCCCACTGTCGGGGATTGTTAGGGAAGTCAAAAGGAACACCGAAGTCATGGGCAATGGGGGTCCAAATCACGACACATCATTTCAAAGGTCCTTGCTGGCGTAAGCGGCATCTTGGCAGCCCAGGTGATCTGCAGGCTCAAACATGGCCCGAAAGGCTGGTGGCAACACGGCAGGAAGTCTTCTTGGGCTTGTAAAATAGGGGCCTTCCCAATTTTGAAGGGGTTTCTTTTGGTTTCTCTTTAAAGCCGATCCAAACAGTAACAGCGTACCCTTAAAAACAAACACATCCACTTGTTCGGGTTCTCAAACCCCACTGCCTTGCATTGACGGAACACCCGACATGCTGGGTGCGGGTTCGCTCACAAGAGCCCCATGCCTGCATGCCCTGCATCAGGTCATTGGTGGCCACTGAGACCTGGCAAGCGGTTGTCACCTTCGCCCTAAACTCAAGCAGGGCGCTGCCGAAAAACCAAAAGTAGGTCGTAATTCAAATTCAAATGCCAGCCTGCCAAGTGGTGAAGTATCTCAAATGCATGGCCAATCTCCATCAAAAGCAATGACAGAGTCGCCACATATTTTTTGTGGCTACCCCCTTCAGCGCTACTTGCCCAAAGTCGAGAAATCACTCGGAGACTGGATGGACAAGTTATGTATTGTCCAAATTGGCGAGACCGACTGTCTCGTGTGCTGCGGCTACCTGCCCTCCAACGAGGGCTGAACAAAAAGACCAACGGACTGGCCCTGAAGATGCGTCTTAATGCCTCCAACAAATGCTTCCAGTCAAGCAGTCAGGTCTGTGTTACCCAGCCCCTTTTGTCTCACGGTCCCACGCCTTCAAATCTGAGCTCCACTCCTTGAGCGCGGGAGCGTCGCCTGCGAAGCCAGGTGAGTCACACCCAGTGAGCCACCTCCAGGAAACACTTGAAGAGCATAGCTTGTACCCCAGGCCTGTGCTGCCGGTGGGCTGAACATAGCCTCAGTGACATGATTGATGACTTGAAACGTAGCAGAAGGTGTTACCAGGAGGGTTTACGCGTGGAACTTTGGCCACTACAGCGCTACAGTAGGTAATGCATGAAAACGTCCATCCTTCCTTGCTGTGGAGTCTCAGGCAAGGCTTGCCATGCCATAGGCCAAGCCGCTGTGAAGAATAGTAGGCCGGCCCTGGACCACGGGCCTCGTCACTTTCCGCGAACGGCATGGCTAGTTTGCAACTGACAGAATGGCGTGACGCGCCACATACCAACGATGCACACAACACAGATTGGTTTCCCAGAGGTCGCCATTGAACCAAATGCTTTGGTTAGCCGAGAGGTTGCTGCAGGACATCGGCTTGTTGCACGCTCTTGCACGCTTTCTCGAGCTCCGTGGTTGGAAATGTGCACATAAGCGAAAATACTTAAAACAAATAGAGTATGAAACCGTTGTACCCTTATACCCTATCGGTTCGTTTATTTTATTTGTTCAGCATCGGTTTGCAATATTTTGACGGCTACGCGTTGCTAAGTGCACTATACGCCTTTGATGTGGCCACGTAACGTGCATAAATAAGAAGGAGGCACCAGGCAGCCGCTCACGGACTTGTTTGGCGTGCGTCAAGGGCAAGTTCGGTCACCAGGAAGAGGAACTGGAGGAGTTGGGTGAAGATAGCAAACCAAAAACAGGGCGCGCTACTGGGCAGCTGGTTGAATTTAGCAGGCATGAGTATCGGAGAGGTATCGAGTGAGTATTGGTTTGAGTATCGGTTCGGGGTGGGTAAGTGTCCCCTCCGGAACCTCGGTTTAGCATTTCAACAACACAGAGCGCAGCTGACAAGAACCAGACTATTCGCACCAATTGTGTCGTCCTCTTCTCAGAACTTCTGGAGGGTACTGTTTTTCGTTTCTTTTTTTCTTTGTGCAGCGTCGGTCTGCGGTGGTTTGGGCCTGCAAAACAAGTTCGGCTGTCCCTCGCAACGAAAAGGCGCGTGGTTTGCATTTCGACCCACATGACATGGTGTTTGAAAGAATGCACCAAACAGAGGTGCCTTCTCACAAAGAGGCCGGCTTCTTGAACATGAATCATCAGGATTCTTGGCTGTCCAACTGATCAAACTCAAGGTCGAAGAACCTTCTGCCTGCAAAAACCGACCATGGTGCAAGCTTCTCTGCTACTGTGTCAGCGTTACATGCACTGATGTTGTCCCTGAGTTAATATGGGCCGACACCTACTTTAATGCATCGTAATACATTGTGCTTTCTCTCGAAGATGACATCCGGCTGTTTGGGCACATCGTAAATGTCACAAATGGAAAAGCCCAAAAACAAAAATCACCAGGCATACGACTCAGAAGCCGCCTTTTCTGTGGTTCTCCGCTGCAGGTTTGCTAAACCTAAGCTCTTCCAAACATGCCAAGCTTTGACCTCAGATCTAAGAATTCCTGCCATCAATTTAGTTTACGCGAACCCTCCAAAAACACACAGGGCTAACAGTCATTCAAAAGGGTGTCCACAAAAAAGAAAAACATCTTTAAAGGACCCTATTTGGG